TTTTAAATGTTAAAAAAATAAGCAAATTATCAGGCGGCGTATAAATTTCTGACCTTTTGTTAGTAAGAGTTCTTGCGAACGTTAAGCTTTCAACTTATTTTGAATCAGATTCATCTCTGAGAATTTTCTTTCGGCAGTAGCAATAGTGTGCGGTAAATATCTAACCTGAGTATATACCCTGCCAAGTTGCTAAACATATATGTATACACCTTCCAAAACATTTTTCTGGTCCTCAATCAATTCCCTGCTTTGGGAAATCAAAACTGATACCGCAAGAAAGAGTAAAAGAGACAACTTGTATTACACCTTGCTATACAAAATCTTGGTGATCAACACAGAAGTTATTGAGCAAAACTTTAAGAAGTTACCATATTATTTTGTAATAAATTGTTAGTTCAACAATTCTTATTGAGCTCGAGGCCGTTTTTATATGAAAAACTATTGTGGACAAGCAACAATAACTTTTATTTTTTTGAAAAAATGGTAGAAGTTATAAGGCCATAAAGTAACATAAAACAAATAAATTGTTAATGTGAATGGAAAAAATAAAAAGCGGAACATATTTTAAGTCAAGCGGAGTAGGGAGTATATTTTAAATTTAAAAGAGAAATCGGAGTAAATCTACTCCGATCGAAGCAAAGTCCTGACGCTGGTATGCAGTTTTATAGCCCATAAAAGCTTTCCTAAATTTTGTATAAAGTTTGAAATTGTGATTTATATGGTTTCAGTCAAAGCTTAGACGGTATTTTTATAGAAAAATACCACAAAAAATTTTGCTCGAAACCCAATACGAATATTTAAAAAATATCAACACGTGGTCATTTGTTTGAGTCACTGTATTTACTAGAGGCAAAGAAATTCGCATAATAATTAACTCCGGTATGTACTTAGTATGCTAGCGATAACTTCTTATATAAAAATAGTCAGCATAGTCGCGACTTATGCCTGGTACCTAGAGACCTGATTCTAGTTCCACCCAGTGCTGGGCAATTGCGCAGGAAATGCTCTATAGCTTCATTGGCATCTGGTAAATTACAGGTACGACTAGAAGTCTTGTGCTCGAGTACATGTGTAACTCAGAGGTACAAGAACCTCCTGTGCCAATGAGATATCCATGCCCACGTTAGTGGGTTAATCGCCGCCTGTCTTTCCTAGGAAATAGCAGTGTTAGTCCCGGTTCGCTATAATAAAAACAAGTATACAGGCTTTCTCTGACTGCCGGTCTCATGAAAACAATTTAATGGCCTTTTCGTTTCTATCGAAAAATGGTCCTTTCTCTTTGCCCTATAAGCGTCCACTTGCAGAACATCCTGAGTTAAATAAATAAATAGAGATAAATGAATAGAATAGGTTATTAGAATTATTAGATTAGAGATCCTATTGCTCTTTAAAAAATTAAGTGTTAGATATGTTCTACTTTATAGAAAAATCCTATAATTTACTTAAATATGTAACATACTTATTATCCTTACATTGCCTCGCGTTCTTGTTTTTGCATGAATAGAAAATATTTAAGTCAAAAAATTAATGTCAGAAACGAAAATTAAAAGTTCAATCTAGTACGGAAAATTTGGTTTTGGTCCGATTTTTGCAGCGAGTTAGTCCTGAACCGAGTTTTCGAGGTCCGAACACTGTTCTCTACAATTGTACTGTTTTACAAACCTCTAACCGCAGTGTGGACAGCAATACTTAGTGATGTGGTTAAGTTCGATTTGAGATGGTTAACTTTTTGGTAGGGACATGGTATTACATACATATGTTGGTACAAATTGTAAATAGGCCAGCGGCACTTCTGAATTGGAGCGCTCAAAGTTTTCCATGTATTTTATATGGGGGAAAAACAACTTTTCGTAGAAATAGTGTAGAATTCTTGAAAATCAACAGTTTTCGATCGGAAAACTTTTCTTATCTTCAGGAGATTCCCAGTAATAATACGCAATTGTCTCTTACACCATTTTTTCATAGTAACTATATTTTATACGTCCTCCAAAACCCCTAGAAAATGCAATGGAAAAATCTTTAATCATAAAAAAATGGTTAAATAAACAATTGGATATAAATACTGGAAGTCTCCTGAAGAGAACCTCAGTTTTCCGATTGAAAAATATTGATTTTTAAGAGTTTTATACTATTTCTACGAAAAATGGTTTTTTCTCCATATAAAATACATGGAAAACTTTGAGCGCTTTGAGCACCCCCTAAATATTTTTTTGATTTCAAAATAAAAAAATAGGGGTATATTATTTTCGATATAGAACAAACCTAGGGGGTGCCGGCATTAAAATTCCAACTTAATTTTTTTGGGCCACTCTAATGTAGTACATATGTTTTCAAAAATATTTTTGAAATCTCAATTTCTTTATTTATCTTGTTACTGACAGAATTGACATATTTAGAGCTAGCAAGTTAACCTCCGAAAATTGCTGGGCTAAATATTTAACGATTTAACTCAAATTTTACGCCTAACCATTGATTGTGCAAGTCAATTTATCTATTTAACCGGTAAACTTCGAGTTAAATAGATAACCTGCTGTTCTGCAAGTGGGCCTAAACAGATTTTTTAACTTAACTCTTTGTATAAGAAGTGAAACGGGTTTGTGCAGCATAAATTGAAAAGTTGTGTGAATTAAAAAAAAAATATTTTTAGGTTTTCCTTGTTTTTTAATTAAAGTCTCCTTTTTTACATCTAAAAATGTTTATTTAACCCTTAATAGATAACATCTTACAATTGAAATCATATTTTCTTACCTATAGCCTTTTCATCCTGAAGGAGCCATTAACAAAGGCATAAGTATTGTTCATACTAATCCAGCTCGACAGCCAAAGGTAGGTGCTCCGGCATAAGAATACGTTTAACCTGCCTTCCTCGACGTTGTCGCTATGGCGCAGCAGTTAACGTGCTGAGCTCGCAATCATCGCTGTCCGGGTTCGAATCTCAGTGCGGCCAAAGTAGTTAATTATAGTAGCCTAATTTGAAAGAAAAAATGTCTGCCCTACAATAAGCATTTTAAGGAATTTTGTTCAATACATTGATGAACTTCTTTCGCTTATGTGAATTTTGAAAGGGCACAGCAAAGAAAATCCTGATTAGTCATAGATTACTCTAGTCAAAAAGTAGTGTAATCTAAATCAAAGCAGGAAACAAAAAATATAAAAAAAGACATTATTTCCTTTTTAAAATTTTAAAGATTTAGGGTCGTATTATCAAATAGCTTTTAAAATTTATCTGCACTTTAAACACAAATTTTGTTTCGGAAAAATGTTTTTGAAGTTTTTGAATTTTTAAAAGCCATGATTCAATAATTAAAGGTTTGCTCATTAGTGACATTCGAGTTTTGACACTCCCTTAGCTCCCTTGCAAAAGCTTTGCACACACACACGAACCCACACACAGTGCCTTACTAAGGGGCCGATTTTGTCAAGAGGGAGCGAGAAAACTGGTTTTTGAGCAAACCTTTTATTATTGAATCATATTTAAAAGCTACGTGAGAAAAGGCCACTTAAAGAATTAATTTTTCTTTTTTTGGCGTTTATTCGTAAATTACTTTTTAGGGGTTGAACAAAAGAGGTAATAGATAAATAGACTCTGTGTGTTTCAATCACACAATAGTGAAAGGTTAATTACTCTAGCCAAGCAATATGTAAAAGGGGAGGCTGATAAGTCAGTGATTTTTGAATAATTTTTTTTCGGTATAAAAAGACGGTCTCCATCTTAACAAAATCTTTTTTCGGCGCTATACATTTGGTTTAGAACTCATCAGGCGTATCTTTTCTTGAATCGGGAAATAGTTGGCGTGTGCTAAAACGGGAGTATACAAACATATATCTACTGGATGGGATGACAGTTCGTGACCCAAGTTTGAATGAGTATACGAAGCTCACCTTTTTCCGATTATTCATGAGATCGTCTGATTTCGCTAACTATGAAACACAAACTAAATAATGCCAAAATCCTATTAACAAATGGTTTTTGGCAGGAGCGGTGTTTCATTTTAAGTTACTGCTCGAAAAATTCAAAAAGTCAAAAAGTTTTTTTTTAATCAAAAGTAAAACAAATAAAAATCAGAGCAAAGTTCCCGTTTAATTAATTATTTTTTAAATTCTTTATTGCATTTTTTCTGATTTCTTAAGTTTAGAATAGTGCTCTTACCGCCGTAGCCAAGAGTTTAACGGTGCCACTCGGGAACAATTTCTGGTCCTAGAAATATCAAAAAATTTAATATCAGTCTTCCCTCGGAAGACAATAGCAAACCTCCGAGTGTACTTCTGCCATAAAAAAGCTTATTCGGAGGTGGAGCAAAAGTGTTGATCTCTCCATTTGTGTCACAACATCAAGAAGCAGAACACGAATTGCAGGAGAAGCTAGGGCAAACATATAGAAAACGTTTAAGGCCAAACATTTTCATTTATTGGCTTCAAATATGTTATGCTTTTCATCTCCAAATAATCTAGGATATAATTTTAAAACTATTTAAACTTTTATTCAGAGGTCAAGATTTGTATGAAATGGAAAAATCGGTTTTTTTCGATAAAAAAAAACCAATTTATTCGATATTCGAAAAAACAAGATTTCAAAAAAAACGCTTTAAACCGATTTCATCACCCTAGTTAATAGCTAAAAAATAAAAATACTCAAATTTAACATGTTTTATACTGGGGAGCAGACACTTGAGGACCTTGTATCTTTCAGGATCAAGGGGAAACATGTTTGTGAAAGAAACTTGAGAGACCTTTTTGGGAGTTTTTTTGTTTGTGTCTATGTTTTCCAAAAGAATATTATTAAAATGTTTGTAATTTTGCTAATAGCCCTATACATTAATAAATCAGAATCTACAATTTAAAAATTGATTTTCCAATTTAAGGGCCATTGGTCTTTAAAGGGTTAACTTAAGGTACTTAATCAGGTCATAGAGACCTTAAGAATTATAATTATTACTTTCAGCATGGAGTGCATTTCTCAAGGGTATTAACCATATTTCTATCTTTTTCTTCTTTTGCAGACACAGTTTAGTCATCACGGTAGAGGGTCCACAACTACGAACAGGTCGACTGTCTGATATTCCAAAAGCATCAAAAAATTTGCGAAAATATTTTATATGCAAAAGAGAAGGTTTTAACTTTAGACATATAAATCCAATTCTGGATGGAATGTACAGATTTTTAGCAAAAACTAAATAAATCAAATTATAAACAGCATAAAACTAAGAGAATAACTAATATAACCATCAACTAAAATTCAACGTTTAAGAAGAAAGGAAATA